ACCACATACCTATCATGACATTAATTTGTATTTTTCTGTATCTAATTTTTTACTTTTATTTTTATTTTTTTTTTACGATCCCGAAAAGGAACCTTCTCTGATCCGTAAATTTTCTTAATTCCAGAATGACATTTTGCTATTATAGTTGAATTCAATTAATTCATAATATCAGTGAACATTAAAAATTATCCGTAATATCAACAATTATACGCAATAAATTACTTGGGAAGGATTGCCAGATTGTTTTCTGGATATGAAACCGGTTTAAAGAAGAATGGAAAAAGTTTAGGAAATCATACAGTATGTCCGAAATGTAATACCACTTTAAAAATTAATAAATTTCACTCATTAATATTTTTTAGATCATATCTTATCACATCTCTTATCTATCCTTTTGATTCATCCCATCGATTTATTTAATTTTGTTTTTTTATCATTCAATCAAAATAATCAAATATAATCGGTTGAGTTAATTTTGCATTCAGCAATATAATGTTTCAAATTTCAAATGCTTTTAAATGTTTTGGATTCTGTACGGCTTAATCCAACAAATTTGGCTTCAAATTATAAATAAATGTTAATGGGGTAAGGAAAAAAAAAGATTTAAAAAATATTTCCAATGAAACTTTAAAAGATTTAAAAATAAAAATAGAAAAGCATTTAAAAATTGTGAAAAAAAAGGAAATGCAAAACAAAAATAAAGCGAAAATTTGCATATTGAAATTTAAAAATTTTCATACCTTTTGTTTGAGCCAAGAAAGAAAGAAAGAAAAAAAGAAGGAAAAGTAATAAATTTCCATTCATAAATGTTTATTTTTTTAATATAATCATCCGAAATTTCAAACATTCATTTCATCATTTCTTCTCTTTTCCTAGAAAATATTTATTCGACCATATTTGCTATGATAGCGAAAATTTTAGACTATTTCATTTTTTAGATTAATTTTTCACTAATAATAATTTCAGCAAAAATAGATTTGTGCTTGAATTTTAAGTCTCAGTTTTAAATTTGGATTTGAATTTGAGTTTGAGTTTAAGTAAGATTGAATTTACAGCTAAGTTTTGCATATGCTAAATTTATAAATTAATTCATTTATCATAACACAGTGCATATCAATCATTTCTTATAATTTCCTCGTTTTTTTTTCCACATGAATTTATTCCAGAATTTTCTTTTTTTTTTTTGCATATTAAAAAAAAAGATTTTTGAAATAGTTGATTTTTTTCTTCATTTTCATTTGGTCAAATAAGCTATTTTACAGAGTAAACCTTAATTTGCTGAATTATTTAACTGTAGAATAGAAATTTTAAAGAATCTAAAACAAATAAGAATAAGGAAAAAAGCTTGATATAATCAATTATGCCTTATAGATAGCTATTAAAATGTTAACAATACAAAAACTTCGATTTTTAAATTAAATCAAACAAACATTATTCTTTTTCAGTGGACAATTTTGCAGAGAAAAAAAGGAGTCAAGAGATTTAAATTATTAATAATTCAGCAAATAATTGATTTAAATAAGTATTAGAAAGTTTTGCAGCCTTTTTTGCTTATTTCTTACCTTTGGAATATTCTTTTTTTTTGTCAATGTAATATGACAGATCAAGAACAAACGTAAAAAAATGCAATAATTTTATAGGAAATCATTGAGTTATGAATTTGAAAGTAATGTAAAATCAAATATTTCCTTTTTTCTTATTCAATCTTACTTTACATAAATGTCAAATATTATCGTTATATCTTGAGAATTAACTTTTTCATACCACGATAATGAAGTCAAGTTCGAATTTTAATCTGATATTTGAACGACAAATATATATCATGTTTGTTTGAAGTTTACTGTTGGAATTCGCAAATTGAGCCCAAACCTGCCTCTGCATGTTCTGGTGTAGATTGTATGTTTACCATTTAATTATTGATGGTTTAATGTTTTTTCCGGTTCCGTTTCCGTATTTACTTTTCCAGAAATTTTATCGATGTTTGAAATTTTTTACAGTACAATGCTGTTTTGCTTATAATCACCCACATTTTGATTCTCTTTGTGCAAGTTTCTGAATACAGTAGCAATATATGCGCCTTCTATTTTGTACACGATTTCTGATTCTCTTTCCATTTAAGAATCATTGGTCCTATCGAATTACTTAATTTGTATAAATTTTAGCATAACATGGCATCGTATACAAATTATCCGTTCCGGTAAATTTGGCAGAATTTTCTAAACAATGTTCCCCACCGGTAATCCATCTTTCACGACACCCAACGCTCAGCAAAATGCCAATAATGGTATGAACTTGGCAGCACTTTATTTACATCCATCGCTGGGCATAACAAATCAGGCATATACCCAATTTTATCAGCAGGTAATTCAAACGAATTTAGTTCTATTTCAAGTGCTGTTATTCACGCAGACTGTTTGGTTTATGTGACCGAATATGACATGGAACTGATTATTTCTATCAGTATTGGAAAGGAGGGTATTTACAGAAGTTTACGGATTCGTATTGGTTTGCTGGAAGTATCATTGTTTTGGAGATTTGAAGAATTCATGCTTCTCCGGGTGAGGTTTGATGAGCGCATGTTTGTGATGGAAAATTGTTGAGTGTACACTCGTTCCAAATAGTCCCACATTGTTTTGGAAACTTGAGTGATATCCGGTATTCTCTTTAAGTAGGTAAAATCCGCCGTCCTTTTGGGGTGGAAAAAGTCAGCAAATGTTCTGGCACTTTGATATACCTATCCAAGTTGCTCTCGGTTTTAATTTCAGGTTCGGCTCTTTTGTCCATAAATTTGATGTTTTAGTTATCCGGAATTCGATATTTAAAATTTCACTTTCAGGCTCAAGGCCAAGCGCAGTTGACCCAACAGCAGCAACAGCAGCAGTTACAATGTCAGTTCGAGCAACTGGTCGTGGCCCAAGCTGCACAGAATGCCCATGTTCATTTGCAGGCAATTCAGGTTCGTTTCAAGTGATACGATTTGCTCGATTAATCAGAAATCGCAGTCCCGACGATATTGTGCTTAATAGCTTCTCAGTGAGCCATGTGTCACAATAACATCTCACTGATTGTCAAAAATGAAGCACTTGGGATTTTTATGACTATTTTATAACGAATTTGTTCATTTGTTTTTAGCAGCAGCAACAACAGCATGCATTTCAAAATCAGCAAGCCCAAGCACAGAATCAACAGAAAATGCAACTGGCACAACACCAAGCACAACTGCAACAAACTCAAGCGCAAGCTGTTCAAATACAACGCCTGAATGCATTAAGGCAGAGCAATCAGCATATGTCTCAGTCCCATTCGATCCGGGGATCTACACCCGGTGTTGTGAAGTCTCGTCAGGTATTGTTATAGCCCTTGTTATCATTCTGCCTTTGCTAAATGTTCCTTTCGAAAAATCTTTTACAAAAAAAAAGAATTCATGAGACTAGTGAATTCATATTTAGCCATTCTATTTCTCTCAAAATCGCAGTAGAAAGCAGGAATACTACCTCAGTTTTCTATGTAGAACAGAATTTTTATCATTCAAAAATATGTTTTCCACCTGAAAAAAGTTCAACAAATTCATTGGTAAAAATTCTTCCATTTATAGGAGCTCCAGGCTGAAGCGGATGCGCGCCGGCGACGTTCATTAATCGCTGATTTTATGGTTGCTCCTAATTCGGCTACGTTTTTAGGTAATATTAAGCAGTGGTTGGTTTGTGGTCATTAAACAACACAAGAATACATATGGATTACTAATTTTTCAGACATCTCCTGGGAGATTAACATTTTGAAAATGTACTTGTCTTTCTTTTCAAGGAATACATTTTTAAATACATGATGCATGGATTTAAGATGAAAGGAGACGTTCGGATTCTATCGGTGGTGGTGTATTCGGTGAAATGAGGAAATCAGAAGCAATGGGTAGTGAATTCAACGTGATCGCTGATGAAACAACTGAACGCAAGAAGAATTCAATCACCGACCACTTAGAAGCAGTTGAGAAAGAAAAAAAACTTGTCGATAGCCAAATTACTATTATACAACGGAAAAAAGTACTTATAAGAGTTTTTAGGATTATTATGCAGTTTTTATTAAAGAATTTGAATCCGCTGTGAACTATAAAATGACTTATAATCTACTATAACAATTTTCCCATTCAGTCGCACATCTGAATAATGGTATTAATAAATAATAATAATGAAGCTAAGCTTCATTATTATTATTTATTATTATGTGATACGTTGAAAGAAGAGTATGTCCCGTTTATCGTAGGAACAGTACGAGAATGAATTGGCTAAGATATCAAGTGATAGCACCGATAATGATAAAGAAAATGATGACACTGCTGAAGACATTGATTCTATGAGCTTGGTTGAGAGAATTTATGCCGAAAATCGAAAGAAAGCACTTCGCTGTGAAGCTCAAATGCCCCCTCTTTTGGCACCTTCAGCTGCAACAATTGTGAGTTTAATGTTAATTGCTATATAGAAAAATTCGTTTTTATGCTCGTATAACATTAGTCTTAGTAAGGGTATGACCAGTAGAAGATTTGAAGAGATATTTTCTGTAATAGCCAAGTACCTGGTGTGGCATCTGCGAAACTAATAATTTTTCAACACATTCATCTGGAAATTTTTCTATGTAAATTTTTTAGTGAGAAAAAGGCTTCTTTAAATCTGCTTACAACGTATGCAGATTAAGCAAAATGCTTATATATATATATATATATATATATATATGTATATATATGTATACATATACATAT